AAAATTCGACTGAGGAGTCGTTGTGCCTAGAACTCTTAGGAGTTGACTAGAGCTTTTTTCCCCTAAGGCCGAGAGGCGACTGTAGGAGTCGGCCAAAGGGTTGAGTTTGTTTTGCTAGGATTCTCATTGTATTATTTTGTAAATATTCTTATCTTGGGTGAGTGAACACCATAACAACTACCAACGTCACTCCTCTTGAAATCGATCATGTCTCTTACCACACACTCCTCTCGGTGTACTTATGTATTACAATGTGTATCTCACAATAAGCTCAAGTAAAAAATGATTTGTTCTCTATAACGGACGAGAACGAATTGTAAGCTCATACTCAATGATACAATCTCACAACCCTAATATACTATGTATGAAATACTTAAGCTCAAGTGGGTGTGTGTAATCAATGAGTATAATCAAAAACTAAACTCAATATGAAATCTAGCTTAATAAAATAGTTAATCAACACACACACACACACACACACACACACACACACACACATATATATATATATATATATATATATATATATATATATATAGCTAGAAATTGAGTTTAGTAAAAACTTTTCTGAAACAAGAGTGAGAGGGAGAGATGAAATTTAAGCCCAAACATAAAAGAATCGATCTCCTCCTCTTGTGAGAACTTCTTCACACAAACACTTGTAAAAACAAACTTTAAACACGCTTAAAACTTTGAAATAAACACTTTTAAAACTCCCTTAAACGTCCATAACAGATAAATGAGAGTTGAAGGCTTTTTATAGCCTCTCAAACTAGAAAAAACCTCCCAAAACCAGATATGAAAGAAACTAACCGTTACAGGCTTAAAAGTGCCCATCATTCAACTTATTATAGGTGTCGGTCGACTGATAAAGTCGACAGTTTCAGATTTATGCAGTTTCTGAAATTTTATGTATCTAGCTTTATAAAATCGATTAAAAATAGTAAATTAACTCTAAAAATCATGAAATTTTTAGGAAATTTTCTATACATGTAGATAAACATGTTAGAGAAATAATTTCTGAAATATAACCTCCTATTTGTGAGAAATAATTGTTTTAAGACAGATATTTTATATTCTAAAAACTATTAGAACACTTGATTTTATAAAATCATTTTGACATAGTAAATCAACTCTAAAAATGATAAAATTTGGAAAATGTTTGTAAACATGTAATATAACATGTTAGAAAAATAATTTCTTAAATTGTATTTCTCATTTGTGAGAAATTATTTATTTTGTAAACTGGTAGAAAAATACGAAAGCGTCAAAACTTGATTTTGATGAAATTATTCCAAACAAGTTTTAAAATACTTTAAAATAGATTTATATATTTGAGGAAGGATATAAAATTGAGTTATTAAGTCTATAATCCAAAATGACAATAAATCAAAATAAACGATAAATCAAAACAAATGTGTGTGTATGAATTTTGAGCTTTGAGTATAAACACACAAAGTATAAACTTAAAATACAAAACTATTTACCCAAGTTATAGATCTTCAATGAAGCTTGTCTTGATTGTGGATGAAGCTTGAACTTGTACTTGACTTGAAATGCAAAGCTTCATACCGATATTCCTTCCATCCTCCAATGGATATGATCGTGTAGGCAAGTCCATCCAACCTCAAACATCAATGTTTGTCTAGAGTTCCTAATGGGCAAACACAAATACTAAACAAACGATGTTAGGAATTGTTTGTTAATCATAAAAACTAGATTAGATAATGGGCTCATAAATATGAGACCTAATAATAGTAACAAAAAACAGCCCTAACAGCTTGATCGAGTGAAGAAATATCAACCAAAAAACCCAACAATAGAGAGCTAAACAAGCTCGAATCCGCATAGTAACTAAAAAAACAACCCCAACAGCTCGACAACGAGCACAAATATCAATAAAAAATCCAACAATATAGAGCTAAACAAGCTCGAATCATCATAGTAACAATAAGGCAACCCTAACATCTCAACAACAACAAAAAAACAACCAAAAACCTAATAATAGATAGCTAAACAAGCTCGAATCAGCATAGTAACTGGACAAACAGCCCCAAAGCTCGACAACGAGCACAAATATCAACAAAAAACCGAACAATAGAGAGCTAAACGAGCTCGAATCGGCATAGTAGCTGGAAAAACAGCCCCAACAGCTCGACAACGAGCACAAATTTCAACCAAAGACCCAACAATATAAAGCTAAACAAGCTCGAATCATCATAGTAACAATAAGGCAGCCCTAACAACTTGAGAAGAACTAAAAAACAACCAAAAACCCAGCAATAAAAAGCTAATCAAGCTCGAATCAGCATAGTAACCGGAAAAACAGCCCCAAAGCTCGACAACGAGCACAAATATCAACTAAAAAACTCAACAATATAGAGGTAAACAAGCTCGAATCAGCATAGTAACTGGAAAAACAGTCCCAACTGCTCGATAACGAGCACAAATATCAACTAAAAACCCAATAATAGAGAGGTAAACAAGCTCGAATCGGCATAGTAACAATAAGGCAGCCCTAACAGCTCAACAACAACAAAAAAACAACCAAAAATCCAACAATAAAGAGCTAAACAAGCTCAAAACAACATAGTAACTGGAAAAACAGCCCCAAAGCTCGAGAATGAGAACAAATATCAACCAAAAACCCAACTTTAGAGAGCTAAACAAGCTCGAATCAGCATAGTAACTGGAAAAATAGCCCCATTAGCTCAACAATAAGCACAAATATCAACCAGAAACTTAACAATATAGAGCTAAACAAGCTCGAATCATCATAGTAACAATAAGGCAGCCTTAATAGCTCGACAACAACCAAAAAAGAATCAAAAACCCAATAATGGAGAGCTAAACAAGCTCGAATCAGCATTGTAACTGGAAAAATAGCCCCAAAGCTCGATAACGAGCACAAATATCAACCAAAAACCCCATAATAGAGAGCTAAACAAGCTCGAATCAGCATAGTAACTGGAAAAACAGCCCTAACAGCGCGACAACGAGCACAAATATCAAGCAAAATTCCAACAATATAGAGCTAAACAAGCTTGAATCATCATTGTAACAATAAGGTAGCCCTAACAGCTCGACAAAAACCATAAAACAACCAAAAACCCAACAATAGAGAGCTAAACAAGCTCGAATCAGCATAGTAACCGGAAAAACAGCCCCAAAGTTTGACAAAGAGCACAAAATATCAACCAAAAAACCCAACAATAGAGAGCTAAACAAGCTCGAATCATCATAGTAACTAGAAAAACAGCCCCAGCAGCTCAACAACGAGCACAAATATCAACCAAAAAACCCAACAATAGAGAGCTAAACAAGCTCAATCGGCGTATTAACTAGAAAAATAGCCCCAATAGCTCAACAACGAGTACACATATCAAATAAAAAACCCAATATTAGAGAGCCAAATAAGCTCGAATCAGCATAGTAACTGAAAAAATAGCCCCGACAACTCGACAATAACCAAGAATTCTTATTAGGGCTCAGGATAAAAATATATTTACCATAAAAGATTGCCTCACCTATCAATTTATGGTGAAATGTAGGCTGCAATTTTGCTACTATAACTACCATAAATATCACTGTGTAGATCAACTACAAAAATTAAAATACAATGATTTAATAGTGTATATAACTCAGTCCTTCTTCAGTTAATCATTCTTCATTGATGATGTTAAAATACCATAACTAACATTTTTTTCTTTGACAAAATAACCAATTGTAAATGAGGACTATTACCTTTCAGAGACTGTATATTAATTAGTTGAATGACTGTATATTAATTAGCTTCGAACCAAATAATTTGTTTTTTTCTTCAAGATAATTTGTAAATGAGTTCATCTAGATAATTTGTTTTTTCCTTTGCACCCTCTTAACCAGTTAATAGAAAGTGCTCAATGACTGTATACTAATTAGCTAAAAAAAGAGGACTATTACCTTTCAGAGCCTTGAGTTCAGAAACCCTAGCGCGAGACTCACGAGAACCACGAGAGAGAAGAGGGCGGTGACTCAGATTTAGGGGCGATGGTTGAAAAAACCCTAGATTTAGGTGTGAGGGAGGAGAGAACACTGGATTTGGGGGCGATGGCCGAGCGGAAACGAGAGGGAACGAGATGGGAGCGGTAAAAGGCGCGAAGGACCTCAAGCTCGTTGGATTTGGGGGCAGGAAGAAGTCGGCTAAACCCTAAGATTTCAGCCCTCTCATCAATGCGAGAAAATGAATCGGGTGGGAAAATGGGTACGGGAAATGAGATTTATTATTTTAATATTGGGGTGTAAAACTTCTGGGTGATTTTCGTCTATTTTGTGAGGAAATTTATTTCTGTAAAATAGGGTACTTTTCTGTACTTTACTGAAAACATTTCTGTAAATTTTTTTGAACCAAACACAGTTTACAAAAATCTACAGAAAATTTTTAATTATAGAAATGCCATAGTCAGGTCTTTTGAGAAAACTTTTCTATAAAATTGTGCAACCAAACACCCGCTAAAACCAATAATAGCACATCGTGACATGATGCTTCATGATTTAGAGAAAGTTGATGCTCAAATTATTAGGGATCAAGCATCCAAATATGTGATTCATGTTCCAATTTCATGGAAATATGATAAATATTTTTGACTAGCATACAGATAAATTTATTGAGAACAATTTAAATTTCATTTTTTAAACAATAAACAAGATGTGAACAAAGTGCTTCTTTGGAAAATTGCATTAGTAATGTACTGGCTACTTTGATCCACTAGCTTGGTGAGGATGCTTTGTTGTTTGAGAACTTTGGTACCAAAAATTAACTTAAAACCAAAAAGAAAGTTAATTATACAAAATATAACCAAGGGTGCATAAAACAATGAAAGCTCTAGTTCATATAACTAGTAGAAAAATGAGCAAACTAGACGGAGTAAACTAGACAGAATTTTTTCTGTCTAGTTTGAGGTAGTTTTCATCAATCTAGAAGGAAATTTCCGTTTAGATTGACAAACTAGACGGTTTTATTTTTATTTTTTTAAAATTTGCCCTCATCCTGGATGGAAATTCCGTGTAGAACACAACCTATACGGAATTTAGTCTAGAGTTACCTAGGCAAAATAAAAAATAAAAAACCAAAATCTTCGATGTGGGGGAACGGAGATCGATTCTATTGGAGGAGGAAGGAGAGAGGAAATTGCAAAGGGATCCTGGTGGTGTTCGCTTGGTTATCGAGCGAGGAGAGGAATTTGAAGCTTTACGTTGATCTCTATGGATCTCTTGGATGGAATTCTCTCGTTTGCCACGTCGGATTTCTTACTCTGTAAGCGCTTAGAATTTCCGATGATTTTTATGTAATTTTTTTTTTATTATAGCACTAGATTTATGTGGAATCCTAGCTCCGTTTGGGTTTGTTACTGTGTGGAATTGATATTCTAGGGATAATTTTTTTATCCTTGTGAGAAAAATTTGCTTTTGTTACGTTTATTTGGATATACAGCGAGGAGTTGATTGTTGCATAGCTTATTGGGATTTCCTTGAATAGTTAATTATAATACTCCTTGATATGTTGGGAACTTTGAAGAGAGATACGAGCAAAGTGCACATAAGTATATATCTATGGAATATGCAGCAGATATTGTTTGTCATTTATGTTGAACGATAAGTATATGTATGATGTCAAGAGCTAATTTGAAGTTTGAAAGCTGAAAATACAGGTTTTGGATTGTTTAGAGTTTAATGAGATATGGAAGATGTGACAACAGAGATTGAACGTAATATGTCGTTTTGAAGAAATCGAGACTCTTATCTCGAATTACAAAACCCTTAAGTGAATGAACCACCGTCCATAGAGTTGGAATGATTTTGAAGCTATGGTACCTTCAAAGTGTATAAATATTCATGATATCCTATTGCATTACGTCTTTTTTACATTTTGTTCAAGTAAAACTATTTAGTAGCCTGGTGTTACTTGTTAGGCAAACGTTTATAAAAGCCTGATGTTCTTCTTTGATAATATCAATTTTCATTACATGATATTTCTTATTGTTCTAAAATCAAGCTGCAACTAGCATATCAAAACTGAGACGAAATGCGCCAATAACTGAGAAATTGTTGCAACCAAGACGCAAATTGCAACTTGATGGTTTAAAACTTGGTCCATTGGTCCTTATACAAGAAGTGAATAACTTGTTAGAGCTAAGCTGCACTTAGCGTCATATTCTGTAGCAGTTTGTTGCAGCGTATGTTGGAAATGAAACAATTGATATTATGACGGCTAGGCAGACATTTACAACCGAGCCTATGATAAATGCTGATGAGTTTTTAGACCTTTTGTAAAGACTTGTTATTATTATTCTCGTCCTCTGTAGTATTAAATCTGTTGATTGCAGGAGTTTGGCGCGATAGACTTTGGCCTGATCGGTGGACTGCAGTCACTGCGGATGGTAAACAAAGTGCATAGTTTGAGCACACACTTTTGGTGAGCAAACCCTTAGTAGCAATTAATATTATCTGTGTGGTTTCACTTTTCCCAGCCAATGTTTTGCTAAGAAAAGCGTTTGCTTCTTTAAACCTTGTAGTTATGTTTGTAGTTATGTTTTTTGTTGCACTTATAATTTTCTAACGATCCATGATTTATTGAACTCCGCCCAATATTTTTAACAATATTTCTAATGATCCTTGATTTATTGAACTCCTTCATAATTAGTATAATCGGGATTTTTCTGCAGAAACTATTGTGTTCCTGTCTTCAGTTCTTCATTATAACTTAAGGTATTCCTAATTTTTAGAGATATAAAACCTTAGTTTTCCATATGATTGGACCAACCTTCTCAAAGTTGGTTTATTATGCGGTCCATCCGGTCTTTAGAAAAGAAGATAGCAAATGGCCTAAAATGTTACGAGGCAAATGTATGTGTTAGTGGAAAATTCTAGATGGGGTTATGCTTCTTTAAGGAGTACTTTTCAAGGATGCCTTTCTAGTGTTTGCAAGGATTGATCAGTTAATTAATATTCTCGTGGTATTTTTAACTTATAATCTGTATTGTGAAGGTTTAGGATGATGCATGATGTCTGTTGCTATTTCAGTTTGTCTTATCCATCCTATGTTTGTCAATGTATTGTTTATACATATTAAACTCTCAGAAGATCACCACTGGTCTACTTATGGCTGTAATCTATGAAGCACGGACACGGACACGGCGACACGGACACGGACATGGACACGACAAAACCCAAAAAAATAGGACACGGCGACACGGCTAGATTTTTTTAATATTACTATTATATATAGATCAATATTGAATTAAATTCCTATTACATTTTCATATTTTTTTTGTTATGTAAAGTGAGGATTATAAATAAGAAACTAATGGAAAGTGTGTCTGTGTGTGTTGCAGGTTTTTTTGTTATGTAAAGTGAGGATTATAAATAAGAAACTAATGGAAAGTGTGTCTGTGTGTGTTGCAGGTGTGAATTAAGATGTCGGGATGACAATAAGTGTGTCTGTGTGTGTTGCAGGTGTGAATTAAGATGTCGGGATGACAATGATCTCTTGGAGAATTAATGACAATATATAATTTTAAAGAAGACAAGAAAGAAAAGATGAACATATAGAAAAATAGATCAATTTTTATGTTGTATTATTTTGTAACATTGGCTTGTATAATCAATGACAAGTATAAGTTATGTAACTGATTTGAAGATAATACCAAATTTTAATTTTCACTACTTTCATCTTGAGCATATAAAAATACAAGAGAATAAAGTTCAAGTTGTAACTAGTTCAATGGCTACAAAATACTAAGTTACTAACATTGCAAAAATAAGGAAAATTACACACAAAAGCATATCTTAAAATAAAGTTTTCAAGTTGAAACATCAAAAAGATTATTCTATGGCTTCAACTCCTTCATCCCCCTCAAACACAATGGCCTCCATCGTGCGCTCGTCAAGAGAAAGGGCAGCAACATCTAACATGTCGGCTCCTTAAAATGAGTCGAAGGCATCTCCATCAATATCCCACATTCTTGATTTCCCTTCCATATACTCTCCGGAACTCCGAGAAAGTAAACGAAGGTTGGTGTGAACATAAACAAGATCCTCCGCCCGTGCCGGGGTTAGCTTGTTCCTCTTTAAGGAGTGAATGAAACCATACGTACTCCAATTCCGTTCACAACAAGAAGAGAAACAAGGTTGACCTAGAAGCTTTATGGCCAATGCTTGCAAATTTGGAGTACATGCACCATAAAGATGCCACCGTGATATTGGATCCATATGTCCTCTATCGGAAAGAGAATCTGGATCACTAAAAGCTTCCATAGACCCCACAAACTTAGCATATTCCAAGTTCACCACCCGTCATTCATCGGAGTTAGGATAATATCTTCTTAAGCACTTTGCTCTTTCCGTAGAGATCTCAAGATCTTGATTTGGAGCTTGTCGATGGACGTTCTCATTGAGCCATGTGGAATGATAATACCTATGTTCATTAATAACATGAATTAGCCTACAATGTATTAATTAATTGAAATATTCGCATTAAAGAGTAAAATATGAAATATTACCTTGGAACTAAAGAGTGTGCCAAGCACTAAAGCAGGGTGTTGCCCTTGTTCCATCGATCCACCAAGATCTTGTGAACCACCTCATAAAAAGAAGATTCCTCATTATCCCTTTTACCCTCATGCCTGTAAATAGCTTGCTTCACCTTCTCAATCATTATATCCCACATATCAAGATTGGGCCAGTGAAGTCAAGAATAAAATCTATCTTGTCCCACCACAAATCATCGAGGACTTTCTCTTTCACATATTAAGCTTTCCCCACATCATCTTCTCTATATAAGCTCCATCGATCACTAAGAACCATGTCTTGGAGGCCTTTCTTAACGACCTTAAACCTCTTCAACATAATAATCCACGAGTCAAATCTTGTGTCGGCAATCGATAGGAGCTTCATCTTGGAATAATCATTGAACATGGAAAGCCGCATAGAGTGGTTCATGATAAAATTCTTCATAAACAATGCATCATCGGAGATCTCTGTAATCCAATGTAATTGTGCATAAGCCACGGCATTTGGTTCCGTGTTCTTAGCTGCACAAATATTCTTGATAGCAAGATTGAGTGTATGGACTACACAAGGAGTCCAAAATATGTGAGGCCAGGTGCCCTCCATAAGCTGGCCCGCTGCCTTATATGTCGAAGCATTATCGGTTATTATTTGGATGATATTTTTCGGTCCCACCTCTGTGATGCACTTTTCCAGCAGTGCTTGGATAAAATACTTATTCTTGACTTCTCCCTCGGCATTCACGGCATTCAAGAACATTGGCTTACCCTCACATACCACCATAAATTTGATGATGGGCCTCCTTTGTGCATCCGCCCACTCATCACTGCAAATGGAGACTCTCTTCTGTTGCCATGTGCCCCTGATGGGCTCCATCAATCTCTCTACATGAGTTTTTTCACGTTGTAAGATAGTGGTCCTTATGGAATTGTAACCGGGAGGCATGTAGCCAGAGATTGGATTGCTTACGGCATATGCAAAAGCCTTGGCATAATATGGATTCCTTGTCAAGTTGAAGGATAATCCCCCGGTGTAAAACATCCTACCAATCAATGCATCCAATTCCTCCATTGCTACCATATTGAATGCTTATTCCACGGTATTAGACCCCCTCCTCCTCTTAGATTCACCTGCACCAATCGGCATGCTTGCACTTGCACCTACACCGGTCATACTTGCAGTCGAAGATGTAGGCAAAACTGGCATCTTAGGCCTAGAAGCCCTCAACCTCGCCTCAACTTGATCCAACGTCCTTTGAAACTCCCTTAGGTTATCGGGTGTTGACTTGGAACACATCTTAATTCCAGTCCCGCTTATCCTCAAGAGGTGATTTTTAACTCTAGAGTGTGAACCGGTAAACTCCTCTCTGCAATAATTACATCTCCATCTCCAATTTCCTCCTGCCGTTTCCCCCATTTTCTCCAATTTGGTAATATATTTTCCGTAAATTTATCATCTTATACTCCACTGCTACTAGAACCCCCTTCTTGTTCCATTTTTTGTAAAATACAATAGCAATAACAATAAATTAAAAAATTAATAATAGTAAAGCAGTAACTAAAATCATATTTAATAGTAAATTAAAAAATGAAACCCTAATTAATATTTAATAGTAACTAAAATCATATTTATTAACAACCCTAATTAATATTTAACAGTAACTAAAGATTAGTAATAGTAAATGGAACAAGAAGGGGGTATTAAATTTAGTTACTGTTTTGTAACTAATATCAAGTTTAATAGTAAATTAAGAAATAAAATCCTAATTAACACCCAACAGTAGAGAAAATCACAGACATTAACAATCCTAATTAACACCCAACAGTAGGCAAAATCATAGCTATTGACAAAACTAATTAACATGCAACAGTAAAACATTAGCTAAAAATTACTACCCTAAGCTACAATCAACAGTAAAACAGCAATCAAAAATTAATAATTTAAAATAGTAAATTATGTGGTGAGGGGCAGTGTAGCTTTAAAATTCGTGGGGGTTCTGTGTGATTTTTGAGAGAGAGAGAGAGAGAGAGCAGTAAGTTATCGGGTGAGTGGGGAGTGTGTGGGGGTTTTTTTATGATTTGGAAAGTTCGTGGGGGGTTTTGTGTGGTGAGTGAGAGAGAAAGAGATAAAAGAGAGAGAGAAAGAGAGAATCAGAGAGGGATAGAAAGAGAAAAGAGAGAGAGAGAGAGAGAATCAGAAAAGAGATAAGAGAGAGAGAGAGAGAGAGAGATCGGAGAGAGAGAGAGAGAGAGCGCGACAGAGAGAGAGAGATCGGAGAGACTACCTTGGATGATCGACGACGACGAAGCTAACAGGGATGATCGACGATGACGAAGCTGACGGGGATGATCGACGACGACGAGGACGAGAGAGAGAGAGAGAGAGAGCTGGCGGCTGTTCTTTGCAAGAGCCCTTTCGACGACGAGAGTTATTCGGGTAAGTTTGGGTTTGAGATCTGACGAGTGACAGCTAAGGTTAGGGTTTCAAGTTTGAGTTTGGGTTTCGGGTTTGGGTTTCGGGTTTGGGTTTCAGATCTTATTTTTTGGGTTCATTCTCAGCCGTGTCGGGAGAGAAATCGCGTGTCCGGCCCGTGTCTGCGGTGAGTCGAAGCGTTGACTCATGTCGGTGGCGTTGACCGCTTGTCCGACGTGTGTCGAACGCTTATCGAACCCGTGTCCGCGTCCGACGCGCATCGGAGACGAACTCGCCGACGGTTTTGAAGAGTCGGTGCTTCATAGGCTGTAATTATGTGGATTGTTGTGAAACCCTTAAAGATGGTTTACATATGTAATACTGTAAACTATAAATTATGCAAAGTTTATCAAGTTCTAGTTATTTCTTTGTTTTTTAAATATATGAACTGTTTACATATTTACCTTATAGGGTAAGAACCAGTACAGATTGAGCGGACAAGCAATGGAATTTAAGCAGATGAACATCCATGTTTGGGAAGCCTTTGAGAAGGGGCATGATATCACAAGCACAGGAGTAGAGAATAGAAGAATGTAAAAAGATTATAAATATATCTCCTTTCGTTCCAATTGTAAATAAATATATAAATAGAAAATTAGTTATTATCTATGTAAACAATTTATGTATCGCTCTAGTATTTTGGTTAATGTATTATTTGAATATAATTGGATTTGATATTGGAATATAATTAGATTGTGTTGGATATGAATATGATTTGGTGTTGTGCAATATTATGCACATATACATGTGATATTATATGACGTGCAAAGCAGATTTTGTAAAAAAAAAAAACTATAGCATTATAGAAAATCCATCTAGGATGCTTCCTAGACGAAATTCCGTCTAGGATGCTTTTTAGACAGAATTTTGAATTCTATCTAGGTTGACTTCCGCCTAGCTAGGTCAACCTAGACAGAATTTCATCTAGGTTGAGTCAACCTAGATGGAAATATCCTAGATGGATTTTTCTAGACAGATATTGATCTATTTAGACGGAATTCTGGGCAACCTAGATGGATTTTTTCATCTAGGCTGATTGTTTTTCTACTAGATATAGCAGAGATTATAATTGTAAGGTCGAAAAATGTATGATTGAATTTCTTATTTTAAGAAATGGGTTCGCTCGCTTAGTACGAATCCTTTACAATCACTCTGTCTCGATTACAGAGGAAGAGAAGGTTGATCCGACTTCTCTTTTGTTTAAAAGTGGGTTCTTGGTGGCGAAAGGATGCTTCTCTCGATACTCAAGCCAAGATTGCTTCCCGTTGACGATCAGATTAAGATCACAAAATCTTTTTATGGTGGCTTAGATCACGAGAACGCAGGCACTGATCTCTCTTCACGTGATAGCTAAAAATCCTCAAAAAGTCCTTTCTTCATAGCCACTCATGGCTATTTATAGAGTTTATAGTATGTAACTAATATGCTAGAATTGTGGGTAGAGAGCGTAACTACCTCCTCCAATTCAGCCCACGCTCGTTAATGGGACGTAACGTGCTCCTAAAGTTTAGCCCACGTGGCTAACTAAGCCTTAAGATCCGTTACAACTGGATCTTCTATGGATGACGAGCCTCACTACATGGCGAGGTTTGTCAGATTGGATGAGCCTCAATATACAACGAGGTTCGTCTTATGAGGCAAGCTTTGCAATATAGCGAGCATCTTCTGACAAACTTTGTCTTCACTGACTTCGTCTGATGAGCTTCGTCTTCACTAACGAACTCCGTCTTTGATAACTGGGTTCAACTGCATAGCAATCCTCATGAGCTTCCTTTTGATGAGCTTCTTCTTCACCGACAAGCTTTAAGTCTAATGATTAGCTTTATCTTCATTGACAAGCTTCACCTCCAATGATGAACTTCGAACCTCATTTCCAATGACGAGCTTCGTCTTTTGATGTCAAGCCTCGTTGCCTGGAGCCTCGTTTCTGATATGGATCTTCGTTGGGTGGCGAGTCTCATCTTTGATTGGGATGAGGTTCATCCCCATGATGACCTTCATCATATCTTGAAGTTTGACATTTTTTTAATGCCTACAAAATATCCTTCAAAGTTTTCAGATTTGAATTGGGTTGTATGGAGTCTGAAACACTTTGAATCCTCTTATGTTGAATTTGCTTGGTTCATCTGGACAAACTTAGCTTCACAATTCAATGCTTCTGTGAGCTTCATCGTGAAGTTTGGTAATTGGTTGACCCTCGTCTTTCCATGTGAATATTGTCAGACCCACACCTATATGACACCTTCAGCCTTATCAGCAGTAACTGCTACACACCTTTTTCCAGGCCCGATAGGTGGATGCTAGCTAGTGGCTCAAGATCTCCGTGGATCTCGCCCGCAGATCTTGTTGGGAAAGGGACTCATCCAACAATCTCAATCGAAGATCTCGGCCCTTGATTTGATTTTTCCCGCCTATATATATATGGCATCATCTTGCGATGAGTCTTTCCTTCTTCTTATCGCTTGAGTTATCAAAGCCCCTCACCTCCCAAATTTTAAAATTTTCTTCTTTGAAATTCCAATCCGAGATCACTAGCTCCTAAAACCGCTGTAGGCAAAGACAAGGGTAAGAAGATCTTTGGTCCTTCAAATGATCTCGCGACTTTGCCCGCTTTCTTAGGTAATAGATCTAAACGCAAGATTTGATTTTCAATACAGATGAACCCTGTCTATCTTAGACTTGGGTTTCTTAAGGGAGATGAACAGTCTCTCCCTTTCTGAGACGAAATTCATCTGAAAGATGACGTCTTTTGATTTGATGAAGTTCGTCGTCTTGACATATTTTGTCTTTTTCTGACGAACCTCGTCTGCCGATTGAATTTCATATGTCTAACTACGTTGGCTATTCTAATGAGGTTCCTCCACAAGGTCTGTCAAATGAGCTTTTGTTTGACTGACGAACTTCGTCTTCACTGATGATGTTCATTGAATCGATGAAGTTTGTCTTCACTGACAAGGTTTATCCAACAGACGAAGTAAGTTTAACTAACAAGGCTCGAAGTTCGTTACTGGACGAGGTTTGTCTATTTAACAAAGTTCATTGTTGGAAGAGTCTTGTCTATTTAACGAAGTTCGTTGTTGGATGAGGCTCATCTATTTAACAAAGTTCATTGTTGGAGTGACCTTTGTATCATTGGGCAGTGACTCATCCTCTAAACTAACTTTGTTTGTCCTTTGTGCAGTCGTGCATCCCTCTGTTCTAGTTCCTCAACGTGGTGATTTCAGATCAGATGGTATTCAAGTGACGGAATATGACTCACATTATTCCTCCCTTGAAAGTATCCCTATGTTTAGGGATCGAGAATAAGAAGAACTTCAACTTCTTTCTGAGCCTTCGATTTCCACTTTTAGGCGTTTAATCATGGACGCTCCTTTAGAATCAGTCGTTCGTGATTACATCGTGAAGCCTATTTTCCTATTCGGAGACTCTTTAGAGGATCCAAACTTATTAGAAGTTGAAACCTACCAATGGCTTAGGACAATGAATGGACGACGTATGTTCTTGCCCCCGATGGAACGTGATTGTTCTCTCACTGCCTTAAAAATTATTTCTGCTCCAAGAAAGATGGATTGGGACTTAACCCCGGTACAAGATAGGGT